TGCTCCTTAGCTGTGTACTAGCTTGCTCATCGCCATTGTTTTGAATCAAAGGCAAGGTTGTTTCATTTCCACACAGTCCATTTACCTCCACGTTTACTTCTAAGCGATGAATTTTTGTCTCCAGTACTGCAATCTTCTGCAGGAGGCTGTGGTAGTCATCTGTGGAGAGGGAAGAAATCTTGTTGCTAGTTAGCCTAGCGGTTAGCACCTTTCCAGGCTATTGAGGCTGCTCGGTGCCCAGACGCTGTAATCAGGCTTCAGCTGTGTCTAGGCCACAGACACACGGAGCGCTGAGGATAAGGTAACTATAAAATGTTGCTGTTTCTGTTAAGAACACTTTAGTCCTAATGATCTATGAGTGTCCAGAAGCTATCGCAGGTAAGCTCATAAGGAAAAAAGGGAAAAAATCAGCATAAAAATCAATAAAATCAATAAAAGAAGCAAAGCATTAAAGAGCAAAGAGATGAAGCGTCCACACTCACAAAAGGGGAGGAGAAAAAAGATATAGGGGTCAAAACAAACCATATTTGATATTTCTGGAACAGTACCAGGAAACACTCCTGAAAAAAGTATGTATGTGTATGTCTGTCTATCTGCTATATTTCTTCAGTGTGTCAATTTGTTCTCATCCTGGTTTTTGTTTTTCAGTTCAAGTGTAGCAATGTCTTTCAGCTTGCCATTATTTTGCGTTTTCTTACTTTATGGGGTGTTCCCTTTGAATTTAACCGCTTGCAATAAAATATTTTTAGAGAAGAATATAAAAGACTTTAAAGACAATGAAAAACATAGTTGAGTCAAAACTATCTAAAATGATCCAAAATGTACTTGTGCTCTGACCTGTGGATATGCAGCCCCAGACACAGGGAAGACGGTGGGCCGGGGGACATGCTGCAGAGGGTGCCCTAGGAATTGGGGCGTGCAGACGGTGGGGAGATGGGCCTGGATAGTGGTGTATGGGTGGAGGCCTGGGGTGTGGGGGTGAGCCATAGCCTGGCCAGGCATAGCGTGGGATTGGTAAATGGTGGACCCTACAGAGATAACTGGTACGACAGCGGCTGCAGTGACGGAAGCTGTGACTGTTGCTACCCCTGGAGACTCCATGTTGACTCCACTGTCAAGAACACCACAGTTAGACTCTGGGGGCCTCCTGCCCGAACCGCCGTTTGCCCCACATCGGCCGGATGTTTCCCGTTGTTGGCTTGATCCTCCACCTACTGACTGCTCATACAACCAGTACCACTGGTGAGCCACCTCAAACAGAACCTCGGGGTAGACACCTCCACCCTTAGCTGCTTCCTCTACTGCCATGCAGGCCTTCTCCAGCATGACATTATCCTAGAGGAAAACAGGACAGAGAGGAAGTGAGATGAGGAAGCAAAACGTTTAATGAATGAAATTTAAATTTACTCTTGGAAACATGGGCTATGTAATATTGCTGCTTTGGTTTAAGGTTATGGCAGTGTGCCATAAGCCACTTTCACAGTAATGTTCCTCATAACTCAGATATTCCCACACACCAGATATTTTATGTGCAGGATTTGACAGTACATCACAAGACACATAAACCATCAAGTAACATTTTTTGTTGAATTTCAGGTTATATTTGATAGTTACTTTGATAATTAGAGAAACCACAACATAAATCCAAAAAGATGTATTATCACTGACTGCTAAGGAAACAACATTGAAACTGACTTGAATTGCACCTCTACAAACAAATTTGGGACATTGCAAAATGTAAACAAAAACAGAAGGCAATGATTTTTGAAATCATAATGCTAACAAGCTAGCATTAACATTTTGAGCCTAGCTACAATTAATATTGAATATAAATTCCAGTACTGAATATATTGCATAGTGTTAAACAATCCTGCCACATCATTTGTTCACTTTGATATTTGATAACTTTCATTTCTATCAAACAATACGACATCCTTTTGTTCAATAGACACGATCCAGTTCATATCATATTGCTGATAAAGTGCTTTGAGTGCTCTGAGAGAATAGAAAAGTACTGCATAAGAATCTGTCCATTTAGCATCTACCACATCACTCCACCATGATAAAATGACCGCAAACAAGAAGTATGGCAAAGGAAAGGAATAGTTAATGACCCCATAGGGTAAAACATACTCTTTCACTGGTGGAGGGAATGACATGGCATGGGCACGTATGCCTGTCTGTTGAACTGGCTTACTTGTGTTTAATGATGATATGAGTACTGATAGAAGGATCAGGATAAATTCTGAAGGGTACAGGGATATATGCTTCTTATTTCTACACTGTTTTCTCTAACCAACATTCACACACATTCATACTCCGATGGATGCTTCAGAGAGCAACTTGGCAATGCACAACGATATTTGGCAATGCAGACTGAGGGAACCACCAACTTCATCAGCCAATGATGTGCTCCACCTCCTCAGCTACAGCCACCCCAGGGAATAAAAAAAATCAGCGTTGCTGATATCTGTGAGTGTACTCAGTGTTTTTGCTGCTATCCTCCTGTCACTTTTGCAGAGATGAACTCTTAAACATTGGACAGTCATGTCTATATTTTTTTCCCCCTGGTTTTCATTGACGATGACTCATCAAACTATGTCAGCACGCCTCACTCCCATCTATACACCCGGTGAACATCCGATCACTGGCAAATAAAATGAGTGAACTTGTAAAAAACTCCTCTGCCTCTGCTGTTCGGATGCCAGACTTCAGGGGTTTTTTCCCAGTGGACTAAAGCGTGGAGCTCTCAGGAAAAACAAGAGGTGGTGGAATCTGCTTCTAAATCAGTAAAGGCTAGTGTGCAGTCACACTCTGAGGAAAGTGACGTAGCCCTCACCTGGAGTCTTTCTTTATGAACTACAAACCTTTTTATTTACAGAGGGAATTCTCTTCATTCATTGTGGTCGGTGTTTACATCCCACCACAAGCCTGTGTGTCAGAGGCTCAAAATCAGCTTGTTGACCAGATAGCCAACAAGGAGAGAAAAAACATCTTGCCTGAGCATTATTTCTAGGGATTTTTACAGTGCAAACCTCACCCATGAACTTCCAAAATGCAGACAACAGATTAAGTGTTCCACCAGGGATGCTAAACTACTAGACCACCCTCTGTGCTGTTCCCTGTGCAGCTCATGGACTCTCTGATCACTGTCTGCTTCACCTTATAGCTACTTACAGACAGAACGTCTAAGTCTGAGATTAAAACCACGAAGAAATGGACTAAGGAGTCAAAGGAGGAATTACATGTAAAAAAATGTGAAAAATAATAAAAAATAAAGAAAAACCATTAAATGGTCTACAGATGGCTGTCTAGAAATGGTTGCAATTTCTGATCACTTAATGCAATGCAATTAATGAAAATCAAATTAAAGTTAAAAAACAATTCTATAATTGTCTAAACTAGTTATGGATCTCTAGTCATGTTAATCAGTATAATCTGTCCCTTTTAAATAAAATAAACAAGTTATAACAGTTAGAATTAGTAACAGTCTAACCAGTGTTGGGACTAACGCGTTACAGTAACTACGTTATTATTGTGGTAACGAGCACGGTAACTAGTTATTATGCCAAAACCAGGAGCGCGTTAGTCGTTACTGGGATTTAGATAGCCTCGTTACTCGTTACTTCGTGTGGTGGCATCGCGGAGCTTCCACAGATTCAGTAACATTAGCAAGTGGTGGAGGCCAGCAGGTGGATGAAGGAAAGGGGACGCAGAAGGAAAAGAGACCCGAGGCGGCCGCCGGTCCAAGTGTGAACTGAACTTCAGGTAAGAAGTTATGACCTGCAGTCTCTCTGGGTCAGATATGAACCAAGTTTAGGTGGAGTTTATTTTCGTTATTCTGACTTTTTCCGTACTGCGTGCTAGCTAGCATGACGGAGTTTCTATACAGCTGGGTGGTGCTATGATGTTAATGATGTTGCACTTTATTTTGTTCATAAGTTATTAGAGTTGCCAACCGTCCCGTCTGGTATTCAGAGAAAATATTACGCGTTTCTTATTGAGGTGAAAATGAACAGTTTGTCCCGTAATTCAGCTGCAATGAAAAAGGCACAAAGCTGGAGTTATTCTGTGTTTACGCTGCCTCTTCTCTCCTGTTTCTACTTCAATCATGAAAACTGATCAATGATCAGCTGATCGGCTCTCTTGTTTGTTTATCGCCCACTTTGCGCCGAAAGAGGAAACCAGCGGATGTCGCGCTAAACAACAGCAGCACGTTTAAGCTTGATCAGCTGTTGTTAGAATTTATTTAATATTAATTTGTAGTATCAGCTGATGTTTGCTGGAGCCACAGCTGTAAAGCTGCTGGTCATGATATGGTTTGGTTATCTGGTGAGAGGGAAACATGAAGATGAAACCAGGAGATGTCCTTACTGAATCATCAGAGCTGAACAGGTGATGGAGAAACAGGTTTACCTTTTAGGTGACATGAATGAGTTGAAGGGAAGTTATGAACTGTTTCTGAGAGACAAATAACACCAGGATCCTTTTTTAGGTAGCTGACAGCTGGTAACTGTGCAGGGGCGGGTCTAGCAAAGTGTTGCCAGGGGGGCATGTAGGGCATTAACAGGGAGAGGGGGGCACAAGGAAATACTTTTCTTTCTTATTCTCATTTAAAATGTCTCACTTTTAAAAAATAATTATCTGAATCTTACAACAAACGATTGATAGATTGATGCATATATACCATCAGAACAGTGTACATCACTGTCACAACAGCGTTTGTTTTCATTCAAAGGCTTTATGATTTTTCCTATAATGGCGGGCCGGTCTCTAGTCAAAATACCCGGGCCAATTTTCTGTCCCAGTCCAGCCATGTATGCAGCTCATCTGCAGTCTGGTGTTGCCTACATCTTCCTATTCAGAAGGCAGAATTTCCGAGTTCTGAGTACAATCAAAAGCACCACGACTGCAGTTTTTGTGTTGGATGTAAAAGGCGCACATGACGCTGTGACGTAGCCTAGAATCATGGCAGCAGTCAACAACGGTCCAGGCGTGGGATTTCTCTCGTGGAAATATGCACATTATCTTTTCCTTTCTATTGGTAGGTAGCACAGTGCACTTGTGGCAAGTAAGCAAGCTAGAAGACTGCAAAGTTATGGAAGCAACACATTAACAAGAGAATTCTGAGTAAAACCAAAGTTACTTTCCCTAGTAACTAGTTACTTTGAAAGTAACGAGTAACTTGAAGTAACTGAGTTACTTTTGAGAGAAGTAACTAGTAATGTAACTAAGTTACTATTTTAAAGTAACTTACCCAACACTGAGTCTAACTTATAATCTTGCCAGTCTGTTTACTAGACATGCCTTAAACCTTTAGTGGAAAGTTACTGTGCAAACCCCCTCCCATAGTACCTGCTCTTTACACTGCACCAAAGCTCTTTGGATTTCATTAGGATTGAGGGCATGAGCATGAGGCAAGCAGCTCAAGGCCAGCTCTGCTGCTGCCCGAACCATGTTGGGGTCCCTTGCTCGCGATGCTCGGTCCGCAAGGGATGCCACCTCTGGAGGGGTCAGGTGACCATCCCAACATTCCACCAAAATGTTGAGGGCAGCACTGCCGATTTCCATGGCTTGGCCTGAAAACAAAAAAAGGACACAGGAGGAAAAGTAAGTGACTAACGTGGGCCATTAAACGTGGGCCATTATCTTTTTCCTTCAGCCACACTTCTGCTCACCCGTGATCCAGGACACGTGGGAGGAATAGGTCCTGGACAACCAGTTAGGTGAAACGAAATTGTGGAGGCCAAGAGCATACAGGCCAATCTCAAAGGCACATAGGTGCAGGTTTCTATGTGGACCTTGGTGCCCCCCACTGGCTGAGGGCTGAGTGAAAATGGAGGTGGAGGAGTTTCCTCCAGCTTTGATCAGCACAGTCTTAGCCAGTTCAAAGTAAAAGTGAGCTGCTGCTTCTGAGGGCTGATTGGGGACATGGGGGGCATGACACTCAGGACGTCGTCCTTTGTACCTAAACAAAGAATTTATGAAAAATTAATTAATATTAATTAAAATAGATACACAAACTGTGGATTTCCACTATGTAACCAAAGCTCTTTACTTCTTTAATTTTATTTTGTAGTAGTATTAAATAGTATTAAATCTATCGGGCAGTATGAGTTTTTTTGATCCCGTTAGGTCCATCAATGTGTACATTAAACAAATATGTAAGACTGCTGTTTTGCATTTGCGCAATAACACTCAAGAACTAGTTTATCCCTCCCTGAAAAGTTTACAGTTGATCCAAAATTCTGTAGTGAGAGTACTGACAGGAATTAGAAACAGAGAGCATAATTATGGCTTCATTGGCTCCCTATTCAATCCAGAATCAAATTTAAAATGCTTCTCCTCGTATACAAGGTCTTGAATAATATGAGACCAATATTATCTTAAAGACCTCATACTATCGCATACCCTCAAAAGAGCGTTTACTTTTCAGATTAGACTTAAAACTTTCCTTTTTGCTAAAGCATATAGTTAGGGCTGGATCAGGTGAGCCTTAGTCCTTTAGTTATGCTGCAATAGGCCTAGGCTGCTGGGGGCTTCCCATGATGCACTGGGCATTTCTTGTGTTTAATCATTCGTTATTATTAATCTCTGACTCTCCTCCACATGTTGTCCAGTCTTCCTCCCCTTATTTCTAACTGGCAGGCAGCTGAACAACCATTTCTCTGTATTATCTGTCTACCTTAGAATATAAAGTGCCTTGAGTCAACTTTTGCTGTGATTTGGCACTATATAAATAAAACTGGATTGAATTTAATAATAATTTGATCCAAAAATGTCAAATTTGGGTTTCTTGACAGCCACCATAACTCACTAAGACCAGTTCTAATGAGGTTTCAGTGAACAGTACATAGACCAACTGGAGGGCTAAATGCATCCCTCGGGTCTTGTGTCAGGTCCTTTCTGGACCTCTCTTTTTCTTATTTCTTATGGATTATCCTTCTGTAGATATTTTTTAGGCCTCTTTTGTGCACCAACTTTCCTCAATTAAAAAAACATAAACAAACAAACAAACAAAAAAAAAAAGAAAAAAAAAAAAAGAAAACACCCCCACTGCCCAGCATGACTACACATGCAGAGTT